CTAATTCTAATCCACAATCTCTAGCTGTTGGTGATTTTAATAAAGATTCTCGGCTAGATATTGTTACTGGTAATTATGGTCCTGCTGATGTGAGTATTCTTCTTGGAATTGGTGACGGTACTTTTGCAGATCAAACAACGTATCCAGTTGACCCCAACCCAGTGGCTATCGCTGTCGATGATTTCAACAACGATACATTGCTGGATATTGTTGCTGCTACGGTAGGCAGGCGTCAAGTGAGTGTTCTTCTAGGATATGGTGATGGATCCTTCAAAGATAAAGTGACGTATCCAGTTGGTGCTATTCCTGAATCTGTAGTTGTTGCAGATTTCAACAACGACAAGCGATTAGATCTTGTTGTTAGTAATTTCGGTAGCAATACGGTGGGTGTGTTACTAGGCTTTGGGAATGGAACGTTTATGTCTCAAGTTACATATTCAGTTGGTACTCAACCATATGGTCTAAGTGTTGGTGATTTTAATAAAGATAATCGACTTGATCTTGCTATAGCAAATTCTGGTGACAACAATGTCTTGATATTGCTTGGGCGTGATAATAAAGCGTTTTTACCACAACTGACGCTTCTAACTGGCCAAGATTCCCGACCACGATCGTTTGTCATTGGTGATTTTAACAATGATAACCAAACTGATATTGGAGTGGCCAATTCACGCGCTAATAATATTGGTATTTTCTTGGGATCGGGTAATATTACTTTTACAAATCAAACAACATATTCAACTGGCATGAATTCATCTCCATACTCTGCAGCAGTTGGTGATTTCAATAACGACAATCGACTCGACATTGTCACTGCTAACTATGGTTCCGACAGCATCAGTATTTTTCTTGGAGTTGGTGATGGTTCGTTTCCAAATCAAACGACGTATTCAACTGGTTCATTTTCGTCTCCTTATTCTGTGGCTGTTGGTTATTTTAATAATGATACTAAACTTGATATTGTCGTCGTTAATTATAATAGCAACGAATTAGGTGTATTTCTTGGACGTAGTAATGGTATATTTGACATGATCATCCTTTTTGCGATGGAGTACGGATCGCATCCGTTCTCTATCGCTGTTGGTGATTTTAGTAATGATGGAAAGATGGATTTTGCCGTGGCAAATAATGGTACTGACAATTTAAATATTTTCTTACAGACTTGTTAATTTTTTCTTGTTCATTCGATTATAAACTTATACTAAATACAGTTCTTTTCTCTATTGTTCATGCGAAAAATTCTACATCCTATCGAATTGCATATTCATTAAAAGAATTGAATGAGAATAAATTATTAGAAAGCAATTCTTGCATCTTCATCGAACTGATACACAAGTGAATAATCGATCGAAGAACAGGTATTATGCGATTGTGGAATAGGATGTTTATAGTATGTTTGATACAGAACAAAGTATTCATAATAATTGTGCACTACTTTATTCAAGGTCGGTATATTTATTTCGAAGCACGCCAATTTCAAATCTCCATTGATTCAATTGTACGTTTAAATGAAACTCAGTGGTGGTACTGCACGCACTCATTGATATATGATCTGGCGTTTTAGTTTGTCTGAAATATGAATCTGTCTTCTTCAGATATCGAATGAAGAAAAATAAATTAGTTTCTTACAGATGAGATGGATCAACGGAAAAAAATTAATTTCTCTTTTATGTCTGCCAGCATCTAATAATGAAAAATTATTGTTCGCAGATATAAATCTATTCAGGGTCGAGGTGTTTTTTTATTTTATATAGAATAAAAATAAAAAAAGAGTAATCTTTAATTTTTATAAAATAAAGTTGAAGATAATCTTTATTTATAGAAATAAAGCTAAGATAAAGAGTAAAGCATGACTTCTATAAATTAAAAAAGAATAGATTAAATCATTGTCACAACAACGAACTCTTGATGTGATTTGTACAATTATTTTTTTAAATATAAAAATATATACATAAAATTTGATCCAAATAATAAAAAGGTTGATTTTATCTTTTATTTTGAGTAGAACTTCATTCAAATTAAAGTCCTAGTCACTTTTACAATAAAACATCATATAATTTTTAAAAAAAATAGTATTCAAATATTATTGAAAGAATTTAATGAAATAACTCACATGACGTCAAGACAAATATTTAATTAAAAGAGAAGCCCATTAGCATATTGTCATTTTTTTGCGTAGTATCTTTTGAATCCATTTTCTAATTGATAAGTAAACACCTACGAAATGACTTTTAGTTAATAAAAAAACACTTACAGCAATAATTTATTTATTTTGTTGTACTTTATAAGGCCATTTTTATTCTTTATGAAGTAAAGATAAATGAGCATTTCTAGTTGAGATTCAAAAAATAATATAGTATTACTTCACTGCAGATCTCTTAATAAACTAATTTTTCAACCGTCTAAAAAATCCTCGAAAACATCTTAACGATTAATATATTTGGTTACCATGTCGTCCGAAATGGATTATATCAAATCATTAGTATCGGCACAAACACATATATTTCAATATGGTGCTGCATTTATGTTCTGTATTGGTGTTATCAGCTGTATATTTAATTTGATTATTTTTTCGAAGAAGAATCTTCGTAAAAATGCATGTTCAGTCTATTTTATTGCATACAACATTGCTAATCTTTATCAAATATGTGTAGTTCTTTCACAACTAATTCTAGCATATGGCTATAGCATTAGTACGACAACATGGAGTAGCAGTTTCTGTCGTTTTATTTACTTTAGCGGATATGTTGTTAATATTCTCAGTCCGTTCTATTTGATTTTGGCTTCAATTGATCGAATGTTATTCACTTCACGAAATGCAGGCATACGTCGGTATAGTAATAGTCGTATTGCGTATACGTGTATCATTGTTGGTACAATATGTTGTATGTTATTTCACAGTCCTGCATTAGTCTTCGCCAACATTATAGAAATTATGCCAAACTATTATGTCTGTTATTCCTATTCTGATGGATATTTAGCATTTATGAACTATTATCAATTAATAAAAGTCATCGTCATACCTACACTTATGATTATCTGTGAAATATATACCATCAAGAACATTCAATCTTCACATCGTGTAAGAGTTACTCCTTTGTCAAATACGGGGGGTAATGTTCTGAATCCTGGACATCCGAAAGATCGTCAACTGATCAAAATATTACTTATCAATGTTACTGTTTATATTATTTTCAATTTGTTGTTTGTAATTGTTTCTCTCTATGAGCAAATCGTTCAATATCAAACCAAAAGTTTAGCACAAAGTCAAATAAATTCATTTTTGATGAGCATCACCCTCTTGTTCACTTATATTCCAATGTCCACTAGTTGTTACATTAATTTAATGGTATCAAAAACATTTCGAAAGGAAATGAAAAATGTACTTTTATGCAAATGAAGTATTATCTATGTTCGTAAATGTGAAATATGGTGATGTTTTTCTTCTTATAATTTATCTATACATTTTTCTTTTCATTAATAAATTTTTATCCTTGAGGATATGATGGTCTGTCATAAAGGTTCGACACATCATAAATGCTTATTTCTTTGTATATTATTAAAACTTCCTCACATTCAAGCTATTCTAACACCGTTTATAACTATGACGTATTGAGATTATCATTGGACTTTTCGATGTATAAATGCTTTTTTCCCTTCAATACTTGGTTCTAGGCATGCACCCAGTGCCAGTCCGACTGGGTATATGTTTTAATGAATTTATTATATATTCACTTCTTTTAACTTGCGCTATCTCAATATACTACAGTTATTTTATATCAGCATAATTTTGTTAATAATAATAGAAATTTTCAATAAATTCACTATTTTAGGTGATAATTAGCTCTATTCTTATCAACAAATAAATATGCAAATTTAAGATAGTTGTAGTATATTGAGATAGGGCAAGTTAAAAGGAGTAAATATATAATGAATCTATTAAAACGTACACCCAGTCGGACTGTACTGGTGCATGCCTACTTGATTCTTTTCGTGTTTTTTATTTGGTATAGTATCTTTTTGTTCTATGGAATATTCCAATACGTTGATTTTTAAGTGATCTGGCGTTTTAGCTTGTTTCAAACATCAATCTGTCTTCTTCGGATATTGAATCAAGAAAAATAAATTAATTCCGAGCAGATAAGATGGATCATTAGAAAAATAAATAAATTTCTTTTTTATGTTTCCTACCATCTACTAATGAAAAATTGTTGTTGGCGGATATAAATCTATTCAGGCTCGACGTGTTGCTTTATTTTATAAAGAATAAAAGTAAAAAAACCGAGCAACCTTCATTTTTTAATAAAATAAAAATGAGGATAATCTTTGTCTATAGAAACAAAGCTAAGATGAAGAAAAAAGCGTGACTTTTTTTAAAATATTATTAAAAGGATTTAATAAAATAGCTAATAGGACATTAATATACATAATCAGCTAGAAAAAAAGTGCATTAGGATATTCTCATTTTTTGCGCAGTATCTTTTGAATTCATTTTCTAATAGAGAAGAAAAAACTTGTAGCATTAATTTATTTATTTTGTTGTACTTTACGACGTCATTTTTATCCTGTATAAAATAAAGGTAAGCGAGTATACTTAGTTGAGATTCAAAGACAGTATATTATTACTTTACTACAGATCTCCTATAAACTAATTTTTCAATCGTCTAAAAATTCTCGGAAACGCCTTAACGATTAATATTGAATTATAATCAACTCAGCATTAGAATTATATTCTGTCTGAGATGAAGTAATATATCACCTAGTCAGATCAAAAACATTCAATAATTACCTTGTTATCTATAAATGACAACTAGATTTAATTTTTGTTATTTTGTACTTAAAGTAGATAAAAGTACATCCATAGGCTTCTTTATATATATAGTGGTAGCTTATTTTTATTAAAAAGATACTTCGTTCAATAAGAACTTTAAAAACACTAAGGCAAGATTTTTTTATTATTTTGATTAGTTAAGATATTTATTTTTTAGTACGTGATTATTATGTCGTCCGAAATGGATTATATTGAATCATTACTATCCGCACAAACATATTTGTTTAAATTTTGTGGTGCATTTTTGATCTGTATTGGTAGTATCGGTTGCATACTGAGTCTGATTATTTTCTCGAAGAAGAATCTTCGTAAAAATCCATGTTCAGTCTATTTCATTGCATACAACATTGCTAGTCTTTTTCAAATATGTATACTTCTTCCAAATGGAATGCTAGCATATGGCTATAGTATTAGTACATTAACATGGAGTAACAGTTTCTGTCGCTTTATTTATTATAGTGGATATGTTGTTGATATTCTCAATTCATTTTATTTGATTTTGGCTTCAATTGATCGAATGTTGTTCACTTCACGAAATGCACGCATTCGTCGACTTAGTAATCATCGTGTTGCATATACGTGTATCATTGTTGGTACAATATGCAGTATGTTATTTCACAGTCATGCATTGATTTTCATCAAGATTATCGAAATTATTCCAAACTATTATGTCTGTTATTCCAATTCTGACGGATATTTAGCATTTACAAACTATTATCTATTAATAAAAGTCATCCTCATACCTACAGTTATGATTATCTGTGAAATATATACTATCAAGAACATTCAATCTTCACATCGTGCAAGAGTTATTCCTATGTCAGCTACAGTCGGTAATGTTGTGAATCCTGGCCGTTCTAAAGATCGTCAATTAATCAAAATATTACTTGTCAATATTACTGTTTACATTGTTTTCAATTTGATGTCAGCAATTGTTTATCCCTATGAGCAAATCGTTCAACATCAAACTGAAAGCTTAGCACAAAGCCAGCTGAATTCATTTTTAATGGTTGTCAGCAGTTTTGTCTATTATATTCCAATAGCCATTAATTGTTACATTAATTTAATGGTAGCAAAAACATTTCGAAACGAAATGAGAAATGTACTTTTGTGCAAATAAACTATTGTCTGTGTTCGTAAACGTGAAATATTATGATGTTCTTTTTTTTGTTGTTACAGTTTATGTATACATTTATCTTTTCATTAATAAATTTTTCTCCTTGAGGACATAGTCTGGCATAAAAGCTTGACACATGATAAATGCTTATTTCTTTACATATAATGAGAATTTCTTCACGTTTGTTTATTTTGAATTGAACAGAGAAGTGTTACGAGCACAAAAAATAAAATTAGCTATGCGGATGGATCTATACACATAAACAATAAGTTCGAAATATAAAGAATTACAAATAAGAATATAGAATGTCCTGAAAGTCCACTAAGAAAATATTATCGTAGAACTTGTTCATCTGTCAAAACCAATTCACTTTGTTTTTTTCTTATATACGTAATTGATAGATATGAGTAATGATTGTTTCCATAATATGAAATGTGTGTATGATATTTTTAATTCTGACTTAAATACTCGTACTTCTGAGTAAATATCGAGAGAGATAAAAACGACCTTCGAAAGAATACTGCATCAGTATTTGATAGGTAAGAATCAAATAGAATCGGATGAAATATTGTATATATTTTTATATTCAAAAGTTAATGTCTCAGCTGAGAAGAGGCATGAATCTAGATATTCATTCTATGTATCTAAAGTTGAATATCTCCTTCCTTTCTACGATGTCTCATGAAGGTAAAGTAAATCAAATCAATGTTTAAAACGTGTATAAATACACACCGATATCTATTTTCGTTATGCGTGAGTGCACTTACTAAAGAATATTTCTTTTTTCTACTTTTTGTGTATTGGTCTTTACGTTAGTAGTATATAGCAGTTTCTTTATAATTGAGCAACAAGCGTTCAAAAAATGTAGTATAATGATGATAAGATAAAGGTATTCCTTCAAATATAGCTACCAGTTGAAGGTATAGACTAGCGCCTATTCAGTAATTTGAGATTCAAATTTCAATGCAGAGTTATATTGGTAAAGTTTCCGAAGCTGTTAGTTGATCTGGTTAAAAATAAAATCCAATTGTGTCACGATCATTAGTTTTAATTTAAAACACATCAAGTATCTCTGTTATAAATGGATTACTAGATATTTATATTACATATACTAACATCGTTGCGACTCAATGTCATTAGCAATATTTTCTTCATAGTTAATTCTGATTATTTTATTCGAGTATTGATTGAAGTATTTAATTCAATTCCTCAATCGAATATTGTTACGTATCTGAATAAGAACGTTTTTAGGGTGTAGGTGCTGGTATTAGAAAGGTTCACTTACTTTGTGATACAAAAACTAATTTAACTGCTTGATTCTTTTTATTTTTCTCAAAACAACGGCTATAATATTCATATTCAACATTATATTAAAATAATTGTTCTAATGCTTAGACTTGTTGAATACCTATTACTTTGAATGGTACCGATTCTGGATATTGTCCCGTTAACCAAGAAAAGTAAAGCATTTCGTTACCAACTAAAATTAGACTTTGCGGACTGATTTGTTTATCGGTTCCTAGATTCAAATTAATGCGTTTAATCACCTTGCCAGTGTCCATATTAACTGCAGTGATAAAATAAAGAAACTTTGACTTTTGAGAATATGTCGAACAAGTCACAACGTAAAGAACACGTCGTTTTGTATTCATTCCAAGATAAGAAGAAGTTAAATCATATGTTTCCATTTCACTTGATGTTGCTAATCGAGTTGTCCACATCACTTTTCCTTGAGTATCAATAGCGAATACTAGAGGCATACTTGACATATAAACCGTACCATTCTCATCTATACTAGGGGATGTTATATCATCATTGTCAGCAATTAATGAAGGTGCTTCCCAACGCCATCGTTCTTTTATTTGTTGCGCGGATACATCATATGATGAAACAAGAAGTTTCCACGGTAAACTAGATCCGTTTTGCCATGGTTGTACAATTATTTGATGTTGTCTGTCTAAAACAAAGTCATAACCACCAGCACTGGGTGTTGTATAATTGTTTAATAAATTCTTTCCATTATGATCAAATTTTATAAGTCGCCAATCACCGCCTAGCCAGAGTATATCGCCTGTATTCGTATCACATCGATATTGTCCATCCATGCTAGCACCAAAATAATGTCTATTTATCCACACTAACTTTAATGTTTTTTTATCCAAAACAGCTGGTACAGTTTCAATTTCGTTATCACTGACTGCTGCTACTAGGAGATCATATTTGTCATCTAGTGCCAGTGATGAAGTGACATATGCAAATACCTGATAATCTTCTACACACTCTTGAACAGGATGTGATGTTTGAGCCTGTGTGACACGACAGATTTTTGCGGTATAGATTGTATCACCTGACCAGGAGATAGTATAGAAAAGTTGTCCCTGTCGATCAACAATAATATTAGATAAACCAATAGGATCCATGTCTTCCACAGGTTCGATAAAAAGTGTCCAACGAACGTTACCATTTGTAGTAAGACATACCATAAAATCACCTAAATAAAAACAATTATCTTTATCAACTTAAAATTATGTATGAAAATTAATTAACAGATTTTTTAGAATATAACTAAAAATCGTATATCTCGTTTGAGAAGGAGAAAAGAGACACTTGCCTGGATTAGATCTTATTTGACTAATGAAAAAGTACATGTCACCATTAATACCAGCAGCATGACCAAATCTAGTGACATCTTGTGATGTTAAATTATACTCATATGTCCATGGAAGTTTTGAATAATTCGTTGCTACGGTTGGTTGAATGCGATAGGTACTTTGAGAATTACCCATCCCAGTTGACCAGAGTGACTCGGGATCATCATCGTCAAATTTCGTGCCAAAAATCGTAAACCGATACGAGATAATATATATTAACAATATAACCAAATAATACCTCATCGCTCTGTGTATAGAGTAAAATAATACGAATATAAAACCATTTTCTTTGACTTATATCATAGTACACTCCATCTGTTGATTTTCACAATGTATTATTTCTCTTTTGCTTATCATGAAAGTGGATTAACAATACATTTTTTGTAAAGAACGATTCGATTCTGTTAGAGACAGCCTCATATCGAGGCGACCATCTACATTTTATCAAATTAAGCTACTAGAAGTTGAAAAAGAAAAACCACCTCGAGGGTGAGTGTAAGATAAGAATAACGCTCACACCCACATCCTCGAGATGCTGATCAATGAATTCATTGCAAGTAAGCGAATTTGAGATCGGATTTACGTTGATGCAGTCGAATAATTTTGACATAAGATTCTCGCTTCCAAATTCCTACCGATTCTGCAGTTTCTCGACCGAAACCAATCGTACATTATTTAACAGGAGAAAATTTTTGTCAGCATGTCTTTTCACAATGCTAGAATTGCGACATCAGCCAGATTTTATTGATTAGAAAAGAGCTATAAAAAAGAAGTTATATGAGGCATCAACATTTCATCCCTTCTTTTTTTGTGAACAGATAAAACTACTTTCATCTGAAATTACTATTCATCAAAGCATATCTCGATTTCCAGTCGTTCACTAAAATTTATTATTGGTGATAATCAACATCGTTTGTCATTGATATTCATGTAAAATGTTTATGTTGTTAAAGTTGAAGTCTTTCGTGTATTTGCGTTATTATACTTGTACTGTTGTAACTTTATTATATTTACATGTTTTTAGTTGTGTTTTCTGGTTGATAATGATTGAGAGAATAATCGAAAATTTCTGTTGTTGTTATAAAATATAAGATTTTCATTAGATTTACTCTACATTCACTCACTGGTGACCATTAGCTACAGCTCTGGTTCCTCTTGTACAAAGTCTGAGGAGACGTTCTTGTATCTTCTTCTGATTGATCAATATTGCAAACGGCATGAATATGTCTAAGCAATAAGTAAAGTTATTAGTATAGAACGATGCGGAACTATTAAATGATGTCTGTGTTGAAGCTACAACATTAGTGGCAACGTACGGCAGTTCGAAGAGTAAGAAGATAAGTGCAATAGGCAACAACTGTAGAAACATTTTCATAGTCCGTTTCCACGTTTGTCGCACTTGTATGTTCCTAAGATTCTTGTTCGTCTTACGTCTTTGATGAAGTACATGTAGAATGAGAATCAAATTGAATAGTATATCAAGAAACATTGGTAGTAGTGAAGTGAGAGTCCAGTCGATGTTAATGAGAATTGAATCTTCAGAGAACTCGTAACAGGCACCACCACAGTCACCTTGAGTATAGTCGAACTGTGTTTGCTCACAAGGATAGAAGAAGATTAGATAAGTATCCCACACGCAACCAAAGAGTATGATGAATACAATTGGTAAATAGTGAACGAAAAATTTTCGTTTCTTTGTTTTCAAGACAATCTGCTGATGAAAAATAAGTAGATAACGTTCCAAGCTAGCAAAGGCGACCAACCATAACATTATTGGGTAGAGAGTGTAGTCATACATAATCCAAAAGAGACAAAACGCGTATTGATTACTTAGTGTTGCGATATAAAAGTAATTATAGAGAAATGGTAACTTTAATGGAATGTCAATCGTAGTGACGAGAAATGAGCAGATTAGAAGACAAATAATAATTTGGTTGACAAAACGATTATGTAGTTCACGTAATCGGATAAAGTAATAAAAGAGTAATAAACTGCAACAAATCGACAGAAAGTCCAGAATAACCATCACATAGAATATAACACAGTTTACCGTTGATGGTCCACTATAATAATCCACAGTGATAGTGTCATTAGCACTGAAGTTCATGGCTTAAGTTTCTTGACTCCTTGGACTTTTTTAGAATGAGGAAAATCACGAATGATAATAACATCTTTCTTTCTTTCTGTGCAGCTCTTGAATCTATGCATTACAATCAGTAATAAAACGGAAGATGAAGATAATAATTACACAGATGTTTTTCTTGTCTGATAAGAAAATTCGTCGTATTTCACGTGATTATACTCTCTAATTCGAATTATAGAGAATATTTTAATTACATATACTTGAAAACGGAAATCTGTTTTTTCATTTTTAGTTTTTTAACAAGGTGGAAAAGTTCATTCCCATTTTTGTTGTTGATATATAATAAATAGAAGGTCAAGTTGAGCATGAATTTGCCCTATTTTTGTGTATGCTTTCAAGTAAACGAGAAGAAAGATTTGTTGTGTCCTGCGCGTATGGTTTGAACGTTTTTTCACAGTGTTTAACCAGCAGATTCAATTTAGTTCTTTTCTATTTCAAATCTTGAAAAATAAAAAATAATCATAGAATTAAATCAGGATTTTGTTCTGTTCCTAATGTAATTGATATATAAACATCAAAATTAGTAAAAATACTTTGAACTTTAACTGCAAGTTCAAACATATAATAAATATTAAACAAAGTAATGCTTTAAAATTAATATGATGGTTATAATGATTCATATGGAATTGACTTATATTTAAATGAGCAATAAAAAATCTAAATGAGCAATAATGAAATTTGGCAATAATAAAATTCAATGAGCAATAATAGTACTGAATGAGCAATAATTATACTAAACGAGCAATAATTTATTTAGATCAGTAATAAATCGTATGTATAAGGAGCAATATAAGTCCAGGTGTTAAGTCTCCTCTATAAGAGAAGACCGCCTCTCAATAGAAGAACCTCCCATAATAGAAGACCCTTCTGGAAAAAATTTCTATACAAATTATATGTATTTTGGTGAGGATTTCAGCAAATTTAGACTTAGTTTGAGGAATATAATAGAAGATCCGGTGGTCTTTTATTATAGATTGTAGTTGACAGTGCCATTCGTATGTGTTGAATATTTTCTTTTCCTTCTTTTGATTGTATCGTATAAATGGCTTATCTAGGATCTTCACATATATATTGTTTTTTTCCTTTTTATCTGAAGTATTTTCCAAAGATTGACTCGTTCAGGTACTTTTCTTTCTCCTTATTTTCCCCTCATTGTCTTTGAATTTTCCTATCCTGTCTAAGTGTATATATCAGAGGTAGAATCGGTTCGTGACTTTTTGGAATCGAACCGAATTCTGCCGAAAAATTGTCAAACCGAACCTAACTGAACCGAGCTCAAAACAAGTGAAGTTTATGGCAAGTTAATCAACGAGTCAGCTTTTCTCGAGGGTGGGTGTGGGTTCGTGTATATATTCACTTCATCATCACCCACACCCACACCCACCCACCCTATGAAATTAATATTGCTATTTATTAGATTAATTATTAACCATTTCATAATTTAAAAGTGCTCGAAAAGGATTTTTTTTATTGCTCGAAGATTATTGCTAATTCGTATTTTAATTACTGCTCATTCAGTCATTATTATTGCTCAAATAAATATATGCCGATAGAATTATTGTAGAAAATACTTCCCGTATTTGTTGATCTTTGAAATTTCGAATTTTTCAAATCTGTGAGTGTTCGTAAATGGGTATTGTCCACAATGATTCGTAGAAAATATATATTCGTAAGGATCATAAATTACGAAAGTTCATATCATGCATGCATAAAATACAATAACACCATTGTCATGTTTTACTAATTGGAAAAAAACTTTCAAGTATAGGAAATTAAATTTTGAGAAAAAAAACAATTAATTTTTTGTGTAAACACCAAAATGGAATGATTGTCAATTTTTTTTTTCTGAAGATTTTTCAGTGTAAGTTTGATATAGAAAAAAAGTCTTCTAAGGTTTATTTATGACAAAAAGTAATAATAATTAATCCCCTGTCTTAAAGACGCATTCGATGAGTTCTAAGGTGTCCAGCATTTTTATTTCTCACAGAAGATTACGATTAGGTTCATTATTTTTTTAGAGTTTCTGATAAATAGAAGTTTGACACATTTTTACTTTGTCATCTATGAATTTAGAAGGTTATACCGTGACAGTATAGATTTTATTAAAGGGTGAGTATCTTATATTTTACTCCACATCTATATCCTCAAATCCGACAATAGCAGATAAGGAAATAAAGCTGTAGAAACAATAGAAAGAAAACCCTGGTATAAAACAGGAAAAAGTACTTCTAACACTTGAAATAGTCCATTCTATATGAATCACCAATTTAATGAGTAAAAAAATATGATATAGCAATAGATAAATAAAATGGGTATTTTATCAAGCGAAAATAAGAGTTACACAGAAAATAGTCTTCAATATTCTAATATAATAATAAAAGAAAAGAAATAATAATTATCTCAAAAACTGTTTAGAAAGTTGATTCATAGCAGTTTTTCTATTTCTCGGATAAATAAGTAAAAACTATATATTTAAGTGATATGAAAGAGAATATATCGAATTATTAGTTATCAAAAGAGGATTCAGACCATATCTTCCATTTTTCTTCTTTATTCTATTCCTCGCCAACACAACGCATTTATCTTCATTCTTTAATAGAAGTGAATATATTTTAAAGTTCCCAAAGTAAAAAACATATTACGACTACGACATGACATATATACAAATCTGTAATTAAGTCTTTTCATGAGTTACATGGACGACTAACTAGTATCTTTCCTTTGTAATTTCTTAAGTTGTACAGAACTAAAATATCTTCGTATACGCATATCAATGCTATAATTAATATTCTTTGAAGATAGAAGTAATATTGATAATTATAAAGCTTCACATGTAAATGTATCAAATGTGGATTTAGTTGCCATAGAATGATTAGAGCATAAGAAATACTAAAGCGATAAAACGATTATATTTTTTTATCTTTACTTTTTCACTTCTATAATATAGATCGAATAATATGAACAATATTTCAAGCATTATCATTGATGTAAGTGTATTCATTTTTGCATTGACTGGTGCTTTAACATCAATTGGAATACTTATTCTAATCTTTTGTCATCGACATCAATGTCCTATTAATACAGCAACTCGTCTCATCTGTAATAACTATTTAGCCGGCATGATTTCCTGTTTACTTTTATTAGACACTTATGCACATAATTTGTATGGTATCTTGCATGAAAATATTTCTTTTAACAACTGGTGGTGTTATGCACGTTCCTATCTCGTTGCTGTTGGACTTGCTGCACTCTATCATTCATATTTAATTCAAGCATATTTTCGTTTATCTCGTGTGGTTTTTTACAAACGTAAACAATTATATAGTTCTCGATTCATGTTTCGACTAATTTTGATCCAATGGTTAATCGATTTTCTTGTTTTAATACCTTCGTTGATTCTTCAACATTATGATTATATGCCACAGTATTATTATTGTCAAATATTATATACTAATTGGCGTGGAATAGTAAATATCAGTATTATTGTGTATTATTTTCCGATGACTGTGATTGGATCAATTTATTTTTACATTGTATATTATATGAAACAGAACAAAAGCATTGCTATTCAACAAAATCGTCAACTTGGAAATCAACGTGATCTAACTGTTCTTCGTCGCATTATTATTCTCATTGGAATGCTTTGTATGTTGAGTTTTCCTTCAGTGGTATTATATTTCTGGTATCTTATCACTGGTTATTTAATTCCATGGATTTATCATTTTCAATGGCTAACATTCACTTTATCATTAGCCATTTTACCGATAGCGACAGCTTGCTTAACACCTCAATTACGTGAATTATTTATTCTTAAATTCAGACAGCATCTTCGTATTCATCCAATCATGGAGATACAACAGACTGATTTAACAACTACCAGACAGGAAACATTGTAATAAATTTTTACATATATTTCATTGTAGTTCGTCTTATCTGTTGTATTGTAATTCTTTTTGTTGTCAGAAAAAAACTGATTTAACTTATATAAACTTTAGATTTTAACCAAATAAAAAGAAATGGATGAGTATGCATGAAATTTCCAAGTTGCATACAGTACGAAAGTGCGACATCATAAACATACTTGAATCAGGTAATGATGAAATATTTGTGTTAGTCATATTTTTTCGTTCTCTTCTTCCGACATAACGATGCTAAAGGTGAGAGTTCGAGTTCTGTATTGATCGTACATTCTTAAAGTACGAGAATTTCCAACTAAGTTTTATTCATTCTATTATGTCTTCGTAAAGATGTTAATCATATGAATCATTGAGAAAGAACATAAAATTGTACTTCCTACAGATGTTTACTTATGATTCTTACTGAAGAAAAAGAAAATATATTTTGCATATTGCTTTCATCTGCACAGAAAAGGTATGATCTCTTCATGATGAATGGCGTATTTCGCGTCATTGCATCAGATGGTTAGTTTTACTTTTTTTTAAATTCGTCATACTCAATACTCACGTAAAGTAATTCTGACTTCGTATTATTTGAGAATAAATTTAATATATCATCGATAGCATTGTTTTAGATAGATCGATTTCTATTATTGTATTTACTTTTCAATCTATATCTCTAAAAAAAAGATGAATATTCTTATCCTATGGTGTCTTTTTTATCCAATACTAACTAAAATAAGTACTTCCTCGCCGTCATCACCAAGCTCAAGTAATAAAATTCCATTATATACAATTGAAGGACAAGTCGTCTTTCCATCTGATGAAAATGTTCTTGACAATATACGTATACTAGTTGATGAAAGTCAGTACATCGGTATACCCAGAGTCGATGGCACGTTTGTTGTATCGGGTGAGTTGTCTTATTACACAAAAAGACATATTGCTCTTCATATTTACTAGGAATACCAAGTGGTTCATACATCGTTTCAGTTAATTCGCCATTTCATATCTTTGAACCAGCACGTGTCGATATTAATACCAAAGGAAAAATTCGTGCACGTGCAGTTAATTTTATTGAACCAGGCAAAGTTGTTACAATGAAATATCCGCTACGCTTCGAATCACATACGAAACCGAATTATTTTCAAAAACGTGAAGAGTATAATCTGATTGATATTCTTTCGAATCCAACGTTTTTTCCAATAATCTTAGCAGTAATTTCAATTCCTTGAATACTCGTATTCCTTAAGCAACAACAAGCTATGCAAAATATGCAAGATGCATCGGAAATACAAGACACTGTTCAACGACTTAATAACTTCATTCAACCAAATTACAACAACAACTTCCCCGATATTATCGATTGGTTAATTACACATGTAGGTGGTGCGAGAAGAATACGATCACCACCCGAAGAGACAACGGATTCTGATAGCAAACAGAAGAGAAAAAAATCCAAGCGAGCAAAAAATCAAACAGACTGAAGTTTTATGTGTTGCTTTTTTCTATGTGAATACGGATGTGATTGTAAATTATGTAAAATACCCACTTATCTGAATGTATGACAAAAGAATAAAAAATACGCAGTTACTAAACGTGGATAAATTTTATTTTATATTCTTTCTTATCATCATGTTGAAAGAAAGAGAAAAAAAGATTTATGTATCAACAAATACACAGAAAAGCAAAAGAAAAAGAAAAAAAAAAGTAAATGCAGTTATTGTTGCCAACATTGTATGTAATAATCGTTTTTATTTTTTATGCTTTATTCAGCGCATAAATAATATAAAAGTTTGAGTTATTTATACCAGTTTAAAGAGAAAACATTTAGCGCTTGTTTAGCTGTAAGAGTGTGGATGTGGATACGAGTATTACATTCATCATATACCCATATCGGGGTTGCCAAACCTACTGCTTTTCAATGTTTTGACAGGTTCCATTTATCGACATTTTGAACAAATACAAAAGACATAAAGGAAAGTGAGGACTGATACAGTTAGGGTGTGGGTGTAGGTATTACATTAACCTTACTCTGACACACTTGCACCCACACTCAAAATAATACGATATTTTATATTTTTAAAATAGATTAGTTACATTATTTAACAGTGAAAAAACAGATTTCATCTCCGATTTCAAGAGAACGTATTCTTTTAGCCACTTGTATAGACTTTTCTGGTGAAGCAGTTTGAATATTTTCGATAATTTTCTTTATAAATTCAATAGTTGTTGAATTACGAAGATAACCACCACCATACGTCGAGATATAACTAGTTAATAAATCTTCTATAACATAAATTCCTCCGGATTTTACTTTTGGTAGTAATTGAACAAATGATGTAATTTGTTGATTCATTGAATGACCACCATCATCAACAATTACATCAAAATAACCTTGTGCTGATTTCACATTGTTTAAAACTGTTATATCATCTTGACTGCCATAAAACATGGTAACATTCACCTACAATAGGAAAAGAAAAAGCATTATATAAAATTATCTTTTAGTGACTATCAAACAAGATACAACAAAGGAGTAAATTTATAATTTCTACTAGTGGATTCGACTTGAGATTTAATACTACATGAGGACAACTTTTTTTCAGATATAAGAATCAAATACTATGTGATCAACTCGTCTACTCTTTATTTTATACTTAATTAAAGTGTCATTTCGAACAGTTGAATAGCTGTTAATTTTGTTTATATTAAGGAATACGCGATTAGATGTGTCTTAATTATGATGAAACGCACACTCAAAGAAACGTTAAAATATGTATATCTAAATTTAGTTCATCTTTTTTTTCACACAGCACATAACAGAAATTGTCGAATTAAAAAATATTACTTTTATGATAACCACCAATCGAAGATTAATTCATTTTACCTTATGTCCATGAGATTTATACCATTCTTCACCACATCGACGATCAAATTCAAGAAAATAAATATTTGCTAATGGTCCTAGATAATAACGCCATACATATGCTGATGCACCTGGTCCATATGGCATTCCACATCCTAATCCAATTTCAAGTAGAATAACATTGGATCCTACATATTTGCTTAAATATTTCTCATATAATATATCATAATGATGTGTCGTAACTTTATCGGTCTTGTATGTAAGACTTACATTCAAGAACGATTGTTGTACCGAACTAGTTGTGTTAATTCGACTTAAATTCAAAATCGATTGTTGTGTCGAATTGTTTGTATTAATTCGGCGTGCATTGCTTGGAGATAGAACAGACGATATAGTAGGAGTTCGACATAAAGTTCGATAAATATGAGTACTATAATGAGGATTTGCAACAAACACTCCAACTGCGAACGCTCCTATAAAGCTGAATAGAACGACAATTACACGAATGAAATTTGTAGTGTAACCATTTGATGATTCTGATTCCATGATGCACCTTAATTATTTATCTAAATTAATAATTAAAAAAAAAGAATGAACAAAACAACTTCTTTGACAGTTCTATCATTTGTTTCGATAAAATAAGTACATCGATTTCATAACTATTTTAATAGTTTTTAAAATACTCGTATATCTTTCGTTTTCTTTTTCTTCTTTCATTTAAATGTCATGGTCCACAGAGCTGAACAAAATTTTACTCCACACTGTATATTTCATTTATGTTCATTGTGACATACGATGGATGGTTTTAAATAGATGTCCTTTCCTGCCGATTACATTTTTGTACAATTCAATATGACTTGAACTTGTACGTGAGGGTGGTTATATCATTTTACACTCACACCCTACTCGTATTGATTATCTGTCCAATTGAAACTGTTCGGTATACTAAATATTTAATTCTTCTTTCAATTTTAAATAAATTCACAAGAGAAAAAACTAGTTCTGATTGTTATTATTTGTTCAAATTATTTTTGTTAAGAATTACTTCGGACTTAAGTGACTGTATTTTTATACAAATATTTCACAGAGGAAAAAATCTGATAAATATCTTATATCAATAGATAATATGCAATTCTTTACAAAGAAGATTTCGAAAAGCTTATCTCTAACGAGAACATCATCGTCACAAACATTATCAGATTATATTTTTATATGAAATAATAATTACTAATCAACAAAGAGAAACAGCACAACTACTTTGTGACGGATAATGATTCCGTCAGTTATGCATCTCTTTCTGTGCTGTTTCATAAGTCAATGGACTCACGAGCATCGTTGTCCGTTACAGTATTAGAATGTCTTTTTATAACAGCAGCAACAAAGAAAATCAATTTTTTTTCTTTTGCTTGTTCACATGGTTTGAAATGAAATAATAAAGTGTTCTTTTTCTGTCGATGAAAAGAAAACAAAACACTACTGATTGGTTACTTAGTGTATTTTCATGTTGCTGTTGCTTTTGAATTCCGATCAGTGTTTTTGATCTACCAACTTTACTTTTTGTTTGTCACTAACGAAAAAAATAACTTCGTCATTTTTATAAACTACCTTCATCACTCGCTTCCAACATACATTAAAAAGTAAAAAATATTATCAAAAATTCTGGCACATAATTCATTCAATTTAAATTATTGCTGACGCGGTGAGTTTTTGACTCTTTTCATACTGCAATACTAATATTAATATTTTTCTGATCAGTATTTCACACAAATATAAACAATATTTTAACTCGAATCAGCAGGTTAAAAAATAAACTGATTAGTTGCTTTGTATAATTTATGTAGATTCTTCATACCATTTTGTAATAATATAAACAAATTTAAGTGGAAAGAGAATCGATTAGTCTAATATTTACATAGTAGATAAATTATCTCATATTATAATTAAATCTTCATAAAATAGCTTTTTTTCTGCTTTTAACATATTTATTTACTGTAAATAGTTTTAGTTAGAATCAATCGAATTGATCTCATACCAGTTAAAGTTATTTTGATTTAGTCTTTAAATAGAGAACTGTCATTATCAAATGATATATAATATTAATAAACCACCTACTTCGTTATTCAACACAATTTTTCTTTATCAAACAGATTTTATAGGATTCATTTAGTAAAAATCTCAAGTTTGTATTTGTGGAAATGACTATTTCATATTTTGATATTAAAATTCAAGCCGAAGATAATAAAATAAGAAAGAATGATAAAATTTTAAGGTCATGACTATGTGAATTAAATAAAGTTATTCGAAACTGTGTTAAGGTACTAGAAGATTTTTCAAGTACAAAAGTATGATATTTATCTCGTAGACTTGAGTTTCGCATCTCATTATAAATCAAATAAACTTTTTATTTTTTATAATTTAGTTAATTGTTGAACAAAACAAATCACTCAAATTATCAATTTACTAGAATGAGCAGTTCACGAGATCGTTTTACAGATATTGAACTGGAAAATAAACGTTTACCAGCATGTTATGATTATCTTAATTGTGAATTATTATCTCTTGAAGAAGCGATGAATGAATTACAAAATTTTCTAAAAGATATAAATAGTTTTGTTAAATTTGCTGAAAAATATTGTACATATCCAAATAAACATAATTTAACAAAAGATGAATCTGCTGCAATTTATATTTATTCGATGGAAATGTCTCATAATTCATGTGTTTATCGTGTTTTAAATCAAACACTTCGTGAAAAAGATCGATCAAAACTTCTTCCATGGTTTGGATATTTAAAACTTTTAGATTCTGCAACATCAAAATTACCTACATTCAAAGGAATTATTTGGCGTGGTACTGATAAAAATGTTACTAAATATTTTAAAAAAGGTCAAAAAATTACTTGGTGGAGTATAAGTTCATGTTCAACATCTGTTAATGTTATTTCTTCATTTGTTAATAAATCTCTATCAAGTACATTATTTCATATTGAATGCTTGAATGGAAAATTAATTGCATCATATACATGTTATCCAAATGAAAGGGAAGTTATTTTAATGCCTGGAACAGTATTTGAAGTTATATCTATTACATCAAATAATCATGGTGGATTAAATATTATTCATTTAAAAGAAATTAGTGATAATGATAAACCAACAGATTCAAGTAACTACTTTAACTATAATACGTATTAGATAACAAATCAATTTTGATAAACAAATGAACACGAGAATAATTGTGTAAAATCTAATTAATAAATTTATATTTGTTTATTTATTTTTGTTTAAAATTCAAAACCATTTGTTTTATTTTATTAATCGAAATATATTTCTAGATGAAAATATTTATTGAAAAAAAAATAATCTAAAGATAATTTATTTTTATTTAGATCAATATGTGAGCTAATGTCAATTATTTATTCGTTTTTTTATCTTTATAAGAAAAGATTTAAAGACTTTAATTATATTCGAATGTAAAAAATTTGAAACGTAGAAAATGTGTTAAATAAGGGTGTGGGTGGGTATGGTTGTATAAACTTCATCTTGTTATCGAACTACAATCACACCCACACCCTCAGAGACGTTAGTTTTGATTGTTTTTATAACAAAATAAATAAAGACTAAGTAAGACAATCAGTCGAAAACAAAATTCGATATTTTTTATTAAGAAAAAAACAAAGAAAAATTAATTGATATTCACATTTTGGTTAAATTTATTGACCGTTATTTTGCGAAAGATTGATTAATTGATAATGCTGGATGATAAATAATATTGAAAAGACTTTGATTAAGAGATAAATTGTAAAAATAACAATTGACCAAGCGATGAATAAAGTATAAAGATTTTTTAAAGATAATCAGAATTAAAAAGTTGTTTATCAAACAAAAAAAAGATGAGAGATATTGTAATGGAAGTACTATTTGATTATATTCTTCTTTAACATGTCGATTTTTTTCATAGATATTTAAGATTTCTTTGGAATACCATCTGGAAATCGTAGTAAAACAGTTTTTACAAGGATTTTCACTTTGATTTGAAGATGATTTTGAGCCTCACTGGAATTTAGCCTGTATAGACTCAGCCTCACTTAAATTATCAATCTGATATTTTTTCTACACATTGATTTATACGTATTTGATATTGATGTTGAACGTTGAAAGTCGAAGCTCTTATGGTTTTTGATTTTTATTAATCAGTAATTAAAACAAACCAAATAAACATAAAACAGATCACAAAAAATTCAACAATTTGTAAAATTTTAAATGCATGTCGAATACGTAAACCAATGTTTAAAGCAGGGGTGCAGAAAAGCCCTTCTACGCGAACGCGCGCTCGAAAAAGTTTTCGAAAAATCATTGACTTTGAAATGTTTTCTTTCGGGAAATAATAAGGAAACTTGTTTAGATGAAGATTTTGTTTTATACGTAATTGAATTGATGTGTTCATTAGGCTACACTATATTTTAAATATATCGTAGTCTCTTCTCTCTTTCGAGTTCTTTAACAAAAATATTCAAAAAAAACATTTGTTTTACTTGAATACTGAGGGAAATACATGATTGATTTTTCTGCGTTGAGGGAAATTTTTCGTTTTAACGGAGAATTCTGCATCCCTAGTTTAAAGTATATCACGGATTGCTGAAATTATATCTAACCATTCCGGTTACGACTCCCACATGTGAACCTACATTCAGCGCATTAAATAGAGTAAAAAATGTAGTTCATTTTTCGATGAATCAACGACGTCTCAACCATTGTTTACAACCACATATTTAAAAAGAGAAACTTAGTAGAATTGATCCAAATCAAATCATGCCCAAATTTATATTATCAAACGAAAAAAGGCAAAATGTTTTTGGTTCAATATTCTAGTGTTAGATAAATGGTCTTCATATTTTTGCAAAAAATTTTGTCTTTCTGTACAAATTTAGAAACTCTATTAATCAAAGACGCAACAAATTAAACACATTAATTTTTTGATAGCAAAAAAAATCTAACAGCGGTTAATCACCTATAATTTAATTATATTGTCTCATGCTAATATATAAATAGCTACTTTGAGCCTCACCGGATTTCAACACGTTCCGCCGCCCTTGCATAGAACGAAAGTTTTTTCTTGGTTTCTTTCATTTCTATTTTACCTCTGATAACATATTTCTACGTTCTTTTTTTTATTTGTCATCAATGTCGTTATCTATTTTATGCTTTTTTTTCCTGTTTCTTTAACAAACGAGACTGATAAGAATATTATTTAATTTGGAGACAAAGTAAAGTGAGTAGGATAAAGGTAAGAGCCATTCTCTTGTGTAAGTTTATCATGCTAGGAGTTCTGACAAAAGAAACTCATGGTGACAGCATTTCTGCTACTGTTAATATTACAACAACAACACCAAACACAGTCATCTGTTAGATTTATGTTTCGTTCATGCCATCATCCACACCCTCAAGATGTGGCTCATGTGCATGTATGCTATTTCTAAGGTGTTGAGGTTCCCCTTTAATAAGTGATCCATTTTACACTTAATAAAAGATTCAACTTCATAAGATTGCCAAGGCTAAGTTGAGGGGTAGGTGGGTGTCGGTGTAGTTGCTGTTGAAAGATAGACAATATACCCACACGAACGAACATCCACTCGCACTCACACCCTCAATAATTTGTGTGTAGATTGTCCGTACTATGAAATGAAAATTTTGTTAAATTTCAAGATCATTATACATGACGGACTCTTTCCTGATTCGTTTCGAGCCGACTGGGGAATCTTTCGATGTGCCTTATCAACAACAGACTACCATTCGTGATCTCATCGAATACGTATGCAAAAGTGCAGCAACATCAAATGCAAACTCTGATGACTACTGTCTGACGATTGACAACAACAAAGAACTAGAAGATAATCAGACTGTGTATGGAGCGCGCCTTAATGAACACAATCGATTCGTCTTTTTAGAAATATGGTTAAAAGACAATTTTGACTTTAAAAAATATGCTGAGACTAAAGTACTTCTTAAACAATGGATGTCATCGATACCAGAAACAGAAATGCTTACCACTCGAACCACAATGAACATTGGTAAAAAGCAAGAGATTACTACAGGTATAAGACTTCGATCAAAAATAAATTTTCTTCTCTTTCATGTTTAATTGTCATTATTTTTCTAGAATCAAAATTTAACAGATGGAAACAAAGTGCCGTCACTGTGGTTGGCGGAAATGGAAAAGGACAAGAATTAAATCAACTGAATCATCCTTTTGGAATTTTTATTAATAAGAAGAACAATATTTTCATCGCTGATTGTTGGAATCATCGCATTATTGAATGGAAATATGATACTAAAGAAGGACAAATCATTGCTGGTGGAAATGGCAAAGGAACTCGAATGGATCAGTTGAATCATCCAACAGATGTGATTGTTGATCAACAAAATCATTCGATCATCATTGCTGATCATGTTAACAGACGAGTGATTCAATGGGTTAATCAAACGCAACAAATTCTTATTGAGAATATTGATTGTGCTCGCTTAGCAACAGATAAACATGGATTTTTGTATGTTTCTGATTACAAGAAGAATGAAGTGAGACGATGGAAAATGGGAGAATATAACAACGACGGAATTGTAGTGGCAGGTGGAAATAAACAAGGAACTCAACTTAGTCAACTCAATAGTCCAGGTTTTATCTTTGTTGATGAAGATCAATCGGTTTACGTATCAGATTGGAACAATCATCGTGTGATGAAATGGAGAAAAGATGCAAAAGAAGGAAGAATCGTAGCGGGAGGAAATGGTCAAGGTAGAAATCGAAATCAACTACATCATCCTCAAGGAGTAACTGTTGATGCTTTTGGTCGAATCTATGTGGCGGATTTTGGAAATGATCGAGTAATGCGTTGGTGTGAAGGAAAAGAAGAAGGTGAAATTGTTGTTGATGAAAATAGTAAAGGAAATCAATTGAATTATCCCCGTGGTTTATCTTTTGATAATGAAGGAAATCTTTATGTTGCTGATTGTGACAATAATCGAATTCAAAAATTTGAAATAATTTAATGAATGAAATTTTGATTTTGAAAAAAAAGAAAAGAAATTTTTTAATTGAATAAAAAACCGAGAAATAAAACAAAAAAGAAAAAATCAAGTTTTATTATTGAAAATTGAATTTAGTTGAATAAAACAAATGTTGAAAAGATGTTCCTTTAATAAATTAATAAATTTTATCGTTTGTAAATGAAATTATCTTTATCTATAACTATGACATATAATTTGATTATTATGTAAGAAAATAAGGTAGGTGTCGGTTTGAGTGATGCATAGTACACACACCTACCCATATCCACACTTTCAACATAAATTAAAACAAGCTATTCACTGTCATCTGCAATAGTCTGTAAAGTTTTATGCATAAAAAAAAAGTTTATTTTTTTAAGAAATCTTCAAATTCAGTTTCATCTGATTTATAGTTTACTTTTTTCCTTTAATACCGATGTTGCCATAACACTATTCACGATATCTTCAGTCAACAACATACCACTATTCCATGTACGCTAAATAAAAAATAAATGGAAGATTTATTTTAAATAAAAAGAATTGTAATTATCATAACATACCACAAAAGTAAAATTATCATCTACAGTATGATCACGTGCATAATTTAAACTGATTTTTGAACCTTGTACAGCTATAGAACTCTTGTTAGCAATAACACTTGCTAAAGATATAGCTGCATCGAGTAAAGTTTCACGAGTATCAAATACACGACTATGCATAATAAAACAACATCCATTTTTCTATCATTCAATTTAAGAAAGACAAAGTAGTCAGGGAATAGTTTCTTATTTCAGTTAATTTGTAATGCGCGAGTTATGGATAATGGGGAAATGGTAACAGTTATTCTCGAGATGATCTTTGACTTCTTAAAAAAGATTTAAATATCCGAATGTCGAGTCTTGTATAAATGAAAGTCTGAGTAGATTTCAAATATTAGTTTCTTTCTTCGGAAAAATTAAAACGCACAGAACTAAACTTATTTATTAGGGTGTGAATGTGGATGAAACTAACAGAAGAGCAAATCATAGC